GAACATCACGAACCAAGTCTTCATACCTGATCAAAACCCCCAGTAACTTCGGGGTGAGTAAACAAGTTTACTCGTAGAGAATGAGCATGCATAGACTCGATTTCTTTAGGTATTTTTAAATTAACTTGAAACAATTCGAAAGGATCATGTCACCTAACGTCTATGTCAAAGGTTAGACTCAGGGAGCATCCTAAGCTACCTTAGAACATTTCTAGCATAAATCACAATATCATGCAATTCTAAACAACATAGAAGCATGTTATACGAGGCAACAAGATATAGACTCTCAAAATCATCAACTTAAAATCCAAGATACGAAATCAACTAAAGTGGTTCATGCCACCTATGGTCTACGTTCCAAATGGGTCTAAGGAATCTTCATAGGCTACATTAAAACAACAAAACACAAATCACAATATCGATGCAATTTAACTAACATTGGAACTTCCAATATAACGCATAAAGCATGATTTGTCAAAGTTATCATCTTGAAACTTAAAATGGGAAATCAAATAAGAAACAACAAGTTACGATATCATCTAGTTATCAACTTGAAATGTAATGCGAAATCAAACAAAGTGGACACTTGGACGTCACGCCGGATCAGGCCGACACCATGGTTTCTTTAGGGTTACTAGCCCATGGGTAACCTCCCTATATGCGCACTAGACTATAGAGGGACAATCCCCAGTACTAGAACCATGTCCTAGCCGTAGCTAAACAATGACATCCCTAAGTTTCCAAAATTAACAAGTTATGCAATAACGTATATATCGACATGTATATATAAGATATCAACTATCTACCATGCACAACCAAATTTAGAAACACATACAATACATGCTCTAAGTCCACAACTACTATGGCATGAAAGATGTCAAATACAAGGTATACAACTCATTACACAAGGCAATAATATATTCAATAAGGAAAACAAACTCTCATGAATATATATGTAATGGCAATGTTATCCAATACTCAAAACGTAACCAAGTGAATATACAACAAGTCCAAGTCTATGATTTGAATATAGAAACAACTTCTAAAACGCAACTAGGTCCATGGAGCCATTAGATATAACTTAATTAAACAAGAATAATTAAATTCTCTAGATTTCAAATCAATATGAAATAACCTCAAATTTTTATACGTTTAATAACATAACATGCGCATTACATATATCAAATCAAAAAGGTAAAATGAGCAAGACATCATCATGTAGAATTTAATTAATTTAAATTAATTAAATCTCTAATTTTCAAAAGTTGTTCAAATGATCCCAAATTAATATATAGCAAGCAATAAGTCGTGGTCATACCATATCTCAAGTCTAAAATGGAATACGAGCAAAACACTATTAACTAGAATTTAAATCAAATTAAATTCATTTAATCTCTAGATTTAAAAACTTATTTAAATCACCCCAAATCAATATACAACAAAGATCAAGTCATGGTCATGCCATATATAAAGTCTAAAATGAGTTACAAGCAAGCCATAATTAATCATTAATTTCTCAAATTGATATCAAACATGCATACAACTTGTATTTCACTACAAAAGCAATTAACATCACTTAAAAAATAAATTATAACATCCCCTACCTCACTAGAGAAGAGTCTCTCTATAATCCAAGGCAAATCAACACAAAATGGCAAACCCTTTAAGGGTTATGTAGAGGATGATGAGGGGAACAAAAAATGTTGCAAGCTTCATGGTCTAAAGTGAGTGGAAGACCATCAAAAATCAAGGTCAAGGCCTAAGGTTTCAAGCTCCATCCATGGAGGCTAGGGTTTTCTTGTAAGGAAGAGAATGAAATAATGTGGTTAAGTGTGAGTGAAGGAAATAGAAATCCTCCACTCATTATGTGCTCTTACACCATGGTCAACACACACATCTATGGTCAATTGCACAAAAATCCTCCTTTAAAACCATAATCCCAAAGTGGCCCAAAAATAATTGCAAGACTTAATTTGGAGCGTACACTTGTCACTCATCCAAGGCTCCATCCTAGGCTTAATCTCAAGCCTACACTCGTCAACCATCCAACCCAACAAGTGCACCAATCCCAGGCCAACAAGTGGGTGAATCTCCACCCTCCACATGTCGTCATCCAAGGCATCAAGGTGTCCCCAACCAAATGTTAACAAGTGGACCAATGAGAGTGTGACACTTGTCACACTTTCCAAAAATTACAAAAAAGTCCTTTTCTAAAATATCTTCCAAATTAAATTACAAAATGGTCCCTAAGACGAAAAATAATTACTTTATTTAATTACACAAAAACCCCTCAAGTTATGAATATTACAAAAAAGTTATGCATCCATACTCTTTACAAGAAAAGTAAACACTTAGCATGTTTTTCTTGGAAAGTAAAAATACACATGGCATGGAATTTAAATATCGTGGATGCATGTGAAACCGGAATCAAATCCGAACACGAAAAGTGAGGTTATGCCAACAAAGTGACAACTGAGAAAAAGACAAAAAGTGAATAGTGTCACAAAAGTGAAAATGTGAAAATGACTCGGTCTTCAAAGGAAGTCGTCAATCCAAGGAAAAGAGTCTCAGAAACCATTCCCGAGTACTCAAGATGACACTAAGTGACGAGAAACTGAACTCAGAAAGGAAAAGATCAACGGAAAAAAAAATATCCGTGAAAATCTGAGAAAGGGAAAGGAAGGAAAATGACCGGGTCATTACAATTTCGTTGTCATAGACACGGAACCAGTTCTGAGCCCCAAGAGTCAAATTCCCGTTATCCTTGGCCGTCCCTTCTTAGCAACTGCAAATGCCAACATCAATTGTAGGACGGGGATAATGAAAATCTCATTTGGCCACATGAAAGTGAAGTTGAACATTTTTAATCCAACCCTGAATTCAATAGACAAGCATGAAGAAGTGTGTGTTATGGAAAAATGTCTTGACAAAGAAGTTGAAAATTTCGAGTCTTTGCATGAAAGTAAAATTCCCAAAAGTTCATCTTCCAATTTGAATTCAAGGAAAATTGTTTTGAAACCAAGTGTTCCAAGGGCATAGAAGCCCAAGAGTTGCTTTGACCAAGGACCGTTAATCTCTTTTGAGCCAAATCCAACGAGTTCTCTAGAGAACCATTTGTTGGGTGGGGTTCAAAGTACTTTTCACCCCGTCAAGGGGGAGATGCATAACAAGATATTTGATTCGGGCTAAAAGAGCCCAACATCTTGCTAGAGACGTTAAAGACTAGTGCTTCGTAGGGTTTACAACCCTATTCCTTCCTCATTTCTATTTTACCTTTCATTTCTTGTGACATCTAGATATATTATGGGTTTATACACATTGCTAGGAACTGTGATTAAGAATGATGCACTTTCATTATGAAAATAGGCATTTTGTGCCTGTTCGATCGATCTCAAAAGAGGTTCGATCGATCGAAAATCCATCCCTGCATTCAATCATCTCTCTGTTCCATTGAGCGAGAATTCCCTACATATTTCAGCTCTCTGTGTATCGAGCGAACTTCAGTTTACATCGATCTGTGTGTTCCAAGATCGATCGAGATTCTTCTCAGATCGATCTTCATTCTATACTTAGAATTTTTTTTGCAACCCATGAAAAAGGCCTCTCTGTGCATCATTCGAACTTTTCTGCAGGTTTCCACCTGTTTGATCGATTGAAGCTCATTCCTGATCGATCTTTGATCAATCAATCCATGTTCTTTCCCTTTGACTTTGACTGCCCTTTTGAATTTTGAATTTATATAAAATAAATAAATCAATTTTTAGAATTTTTATTTTATTCTCAAAAACTCCAAAAATATTTTTAATTTTATGAAATTTTTCAAAATCCAAAAAATATATATTTTTCCTTTATGTTATTGTATTGTATTTTAATTTTAAAAATATTTTCAAAAATTCCAAAAAGATTTTTATTTTATTTGATTTTTACTTTTACTTTATTTTTTCCAAAAATCCAAAAATATTTATAATTTTCAAATATTCAAAAGAAAAAAATAAATAAATAAATAAATTCAAAAATACTGTGTCATTTTGAAGTATAAATCGATCTGTGTTCCTTCAAGATCGATCTATGTTCGATCGATCTGAGATCTTTCCGGATCGATCGAACATGTCAGAGATCGTTTTTAAAAATAGAACCCTAGGGTCATTTTGATCGATTTGACCATCGATCTTAAACCCTAGCTTTTTGTCGCCGCTGCCCACCTTCTTCCCATCCTCCGGCGAACCTCCGGCGAGCTTCTAAAGCTTCGACACTTCCATCTTCGCTTCAGATCTCGTCATCTCTCCTTCATCTCCACTTCTCTCATCCGATTTGGTAAGTTTGAGTTTAATTTTTAGATTTCGAGCTTTAATCTTGAGTGATGACCATGTTTTCATGTTAGATCTGAGCTTCCATGATTTCCATTTTTGATGTTTTGAGCATGTATATATAGATATATATATATGTATATATATTTTTGTCTATATTTGATTTCGGTTTTGGTTTCGATTTAGGGGGTCACGTGCCAAGATAAGTGACCAATGTTGAGTTGTTGATGTGTGAGAGGGCCCACGAGCTTACTCGGGTACCCCCCGTGCCATCCACGTCATAGATCTGTGACTGTTCATATTTTCACAGCAGTTCGATCGATCTGTGTTCCTTCAAGATCGATCTCAGCTCGATCGATCTGAGTTCTTTTCATGATCGATCGAATATCACAGATTTGCATTTGCACTTCACACACCATCTTTTATGTTGCATGCTAGTTTCTTGATGCCCAATGCCTGTGTTTTCCACATTGGAAGCATTCCATACTTATAATGTCTAGCATGTTTCACTTATTCATTGTCTATACTTGGCTGCATTTTCACTTGCATAGATTCATGTCGATTATTCTGAGTTGTCTATCTTACTTGACATACATGTTTCTATTTACTGTGCTTCAATTCTCTATTATATGTTATTGACTTCTATTGCAAGTGTTTCCCTTTAGTTTTGCAGGCCATGGCATGGGTTAAGACAGTTGCCCGTCGACAGTATGAGAGGAGAGTACGATAGAGAGTAGAGGAGCCCGCAGAGCCTTCTCATGCTTAGGATCCAGCTCCAGAGCAAGTTGAGCAGGCTGAGCAGCCTGAACAGTTAGAGGAGTATGAAGAGCCAGCTCTAGCTCAGTCTGACCGTTCTGCCTCTGCCCCTTCTGCTTCCGCATCTTCTTCAGCTGAGGCTAAGCATATACTTTCTCCTTCTCCACCACCGGCACAGCCAGACCAGGTCCGAGATAGACCTATCTGGAAGTTCTCACGCCTTTCAGTGGCGCATGAGTCAGTATTTGACACTACTTTCTTCTCCCGGTCAGCCGCGACCTAGACAACTTTTAATGACATCGAGCGGTGGGGCCTTTCAGCCATTTTTATGCCAGTTACCTATCTCGTTTACCCGCGGCTTGTTCGAATGTTCTTCTAGAACCTTCGGCCAGCCCCGAGTAACTTATCGGAGCTGCAGACTACTATTGATGGCTATCTCATCCGTATTACAGTTGAGTCATTGGCCACATCTTCTCGGTGCCCCTATGTCTACCCTCCCAGCCTTGATTATCCTATCTTGAGGAGACATTCTGATGCAAACATAGCCGTTGCTCTTACTAGACATTACGCAGATGGCGAGACTTTCGCCACCCGGACTTATCTGCCCGACGACCTCTAGTTCTTTGATTCGGTATTTTCCGAAATGTATTTATGGCGGACCATAAGATCCAGTGACACTCAAACTTTCTTGTAACCTTTTATGCATTCTACACAGGGCACTGGTTTTCTATTCTTGCACTCTACTAAAGTGTAATGATGAAGCTCTATACAGATTATATCAGCAAGGCAAAGCCCAAGCGGGCCAAATACCTCCCCTTTGCTCATCTTATTACATAGATCCTCAGGGACCAGCGCTACCCTTTCCATCCACAGGAGCGTCTTGAGTCAGGGGCTTCCCACTATGGCAAGAAGGACTGGAATAAGAGCTACAACGCTCTCATAAAGAGCTTGGAGTAGGATGCTGTCTTGGCAGCTGAGGAGGAGGAGATGGTAGCAACAGAGATAGTAACAGCAGCAGTATCAGCAACAGATGATCCGGCAATAGCACCGACAGCTGCAACACATATCGATATAGACCTGGAGCAGTAGCCTCCAGAGGAGCTACTACATCACTCTCCGACAGGGTCGCCACTACATTCCCAAGAGCAGACTCAGGACATACATCAGTCATACCTGAGGCTCCAGCTCAGATACCCAGCCTTGGAGAGCGTATCCAGACATTGGAGGATGTGGTAGTCTCTCTCCGAGCAGACATATCTACTCTCCGTGTGGACATTTTAGCTACGCTGCATTGGGGGATCACGCCCCGCTCGCCCTACTTCCTCTGCCTGATCTCTATACCTCTCTTTTTATATGTCTGTACTACCTGCTCTTTTGATACTGATATGATATTTTGCGGCCAGCCTGTTGGCCCTGATACTGTGATGTACTGTACATTATTTTTCTCTTTCTATGCATGCTATGTTTAGATGTCAGATTCTTATATTGATACATCTATTTGTTATTGACTCCATTATCAGGTACATCCTAGTGACTTCAGTGAGAGAGAGCTGTCCAAAATTTTTTAGGACCATCCCTATTCCTCTCTCCTTATTTCATTTACTATCCCATTTACCCTTGCATGTCCACTGTGCACTATTATTATCCCTTTTGTTATCTGATCAGCTTTTATCCTAGTGCCATATTTTCAGGATCACAGTTAATCCCAAGTTTGGGGGAGTTATATCACCCACTTTGGATTTTTCTGTCCCGGCCATTCTTTGCCATAGCTGCACTGGTATACTCTTTCCTTTGTTCTCTTTGCATATTGAGGACACTGTACCGTTTAAGTTTAGGGATAATGGGTGTTATTTGCAGTAATTGTTTTCAATTAAAAATTTTGAGCATAACTTGTGTATTTGAGGGATTTTTTTATGATTGGTCCATGACTAGTTATGATTTTGATCTTTTGAGGACTATATTGCTTAAAATTTAAAAATTGCTTGACTTGAGAGTCCAATACTCCTTGTATGCCTTGTGATGCCATTTAGGAGTAAATTTTTCAAAAAATTGATATCATACTTGCATTTGTGGTTCACATTATCCTGATTTTGTGATTGTTTTGAGATTCACTCTAGTATTCCACACTAACACAGGCGCACACTAGTATTCATTTGTGGGCTACATGCTTCGTTGACTATTGGTTTGGTTATATCTCAATTGAGCTAGTAGTGCATTGAAAGCTTTCATTTTGATAAAAGTGGATAACAAACCCTTTTTATTGAATAGCCGGGATTCTAGCCTCATCAAGCACTGAATTTCTCGCACCGAAAGGTGGAGGGCCAAACTCTAGGTTAATAATTGAATGCTTAAAAAATAAAAATAATAATATAAAATAAAATTGTTGCAAAAGTAATAAAAAAAGTGAGGACTTCTCCCAAAAGGTGAGAAGTGGGAAATTATTAGATGGAGGTTGTTTTGATTTGTAGCCTAGTTGATTTGAGCTTGTAAGTCCTTAGGGGTGTTTAAACACCTAGTGCCCTAAAGCCATCTGGTTTGGGAGTCATTGACCTAACGCTCAACCTCATGGATCGCTAGAAAGCTTAATAGATCAACACATTGCACTATGCTTCCATCTTTGATCCTTAGGGATAGAGAAAAAAAAAAATCGAGTGAAAAGAATAAGCGCACCTAGATCAATAAAACTTTAATAAAAGATCCACTCTTTGTCTTGATGATCGGTACTAGATTTGTGTGCTAGTTTAAGGGTAAGGATGTGATCATTTCTTTAGTTGGCTTAGATAACAACATATTTGATGCCGGTCCACTTAAAAAGGATTCTAGAGTTGTTTTGATTTACATGATCATTTTCTTAATGTATGGAGGACTATACTTGCTTGCTTAATGTTGAGATTTTGGGAGATTGCTTGGAAATGATTCAAAAATTGCATACTTGAGGTACTTTTCTCCCAATGCTTGTTTGCAATATTGGTGTCTCTTTTGTGAGAACGAGCTTAATGTTTGTGGGTATCATTTCTGGAAACCCTCACGAGACTTCACTCGTCCACTAGGGGTAACCTAGGGGTTTAAAAAGCTTGTTGCATGCGCTAAATGCAATCGTGTTCCCTACAAAAGTGGCGTTATCATTTTATTGTTTTCTAGTTCATAGTTGTATAGTCGTTCATTTCATTTTCTTTACTTCGTAGTTCATTATTAGGGACTAGCAATATTTAAGTTTAGGGGTATGATGAGCGTTGAAAAGTGCAAATTTAAACCCTTAAGTTTAGGTATTCTAGGACCTTTATCTATCTTATTTTCCCGTCTTAAATTAATTTCATGTTATTGCCCTTTCTAGGTGCTTATTCCAAAAATAAGTTAATTCAGCCAAATAAGAGCATTAAAGAAGCTGTCTCAAGCTAAATGGAAGAAAGGAGCAAAGTGGAAGCAGCAAGTTCGATCGATCTCAACAATTCTTCGATCGATCTGGAGGTAATTGATCTAGACATTTCAAGATGGATCCAAGCCTTTGTCCTTATCTAAAAGATTCCACCATCTTCGATCGATCCAACTTTTCTCAGATCGATTGAAATTGTTTGATCTTATCCTCATCTATCACCCCACCTACCACTTTTGTCTTTTTCCCAAAATATCTCAAAAAATCCGAAAATATCTCAGAGATTTGTCTTTATTTAAAAAGGCGCCGCCAAAGATAATCGATCTCTATAGCATTCGATGGATCTCACCACAGTTCGATCGATCGAACCTCCTCAAGTCCGAAATAAAACAAATTCTAGCTCATTAAAAGTTGGCTCGTGGTGCAATCATTGCAAGGGCCCAAGTGCACAAGTCTAGACCATTGGGTGTGACACTTAAGTTACCTATATAAGGAGTTTGAGCCATTTTTACATCATATCTCAATATCTCTTAACATTCATCACATATCTTGGAGAGGAGGCTAGAAACTAGAAAGAGCTTTACACATTTTGGAAGTTCTTCCATTCATCTAGGGTTTCCATCAAGAAAAAGGTCATTCCTACCATGGAGATAGCCCTTGAGGGTTGGATGACTACTTCAGTAAGTGGCTAGACATCTACTTGGGACTAGAGTAGCCCCTAAGTTTGCTTCCTAGACCTAGTGCTTTGTATATTTTTGGGGATTTACTTATAATAAATGTTTTGATCTTGGATATATATATATATATATATATATATATATATATCTTGTGGTTTCTACTTGATGTGTATTGATTAATGTTTTCAATTGATTATCTATTTCTAATCATATGTCTATGTATGTTAGAATGGATGACTTATGTGCTTTTCTCTAGATTTAATGGAATTTATGTATGTCTATATGTATGGATGAAGTTAATCTAATGATGATCAAAACATAGTGCTTAATTGAATACTCTTGTAATTTATTTGATGGTTCACACTTGTTTCTTGATAGATTGTGCCACACCTTTAGCTTACTTAGTTTAATTTCCATGTCTTTCGTGTAGATATAGTGTAGTTGCTTTAAATTCATAGATAGGTAGACAATCTATTCTTGTTCCTTGGTGTTCCATACTTATGAATGCAAAGGGTGTATGTTTCTAGATAGTTGTGTGTGCAAAAATTGTGGTTTCATTGAATGGATTTTGGTCTCATTTGATAGGTTGTGCTTTCCATTTGAATTAGCTAGACAATCTATACTTTTTTGCCATCCATGCCTAGTTTCAATTAATGTCACACACACACACACACAAGTTACAATTCAATTTCCCCATTGATATACAATTGCTAGTGTCTAGTGAAATCAAGTTTAGTAGTGAGCTCTAATACCCCAAGTCCTCTTCTCTATATTTTTTTCCCTATCTTCTAAAATTATTGTATTTTGTTTGCTTTAATTTTAATTCTATTGTAATTTAACCAACCAAACAAATCATCTTTTGATCATTCGACCTACTAACCCTATATATTGTTTCCATTGCAAACACACCCACAATCCCTTGGGACGATCCCTACTCACCTTAGCTATATTTTTAGTTTAAAGTAGTAGTGACATTTATAAATTTAAAACTTGGCCGCATTTTATATTTTGCAAATTTGGTTGCATCGCGACAGGCTACACCAGCTCTCTCTACAAACATCAATCCCACCAAAACCCAATCCCTCCCATATATATATATATATATATATATATATATATATATATATATATATATATATATGCGCACACAAAGAGAGGGAGATGCATAGGTCTGGGATATATATACCGGGATATATATGTTGAACATGGCCAATCATTCATATTCTCAATCAATGGAAAGAGACATGACTGATGAAGTAGTCTTGATGACAACAGATGATCCCCTTGTGGTGAATGTGAAGCCACAGGCAGAACACCTGGGCAGAATGATTAATTAAATGAATTTTTTTTAGTATGGTACCAAGTACTCTTTTTTTTTTTTTTTTCTTTTTTCCCCTAAATTACTCGCTTTGCCCTTATAGGCTTAGCCTTTGTGTCTTTAGAACAACAGATGACCATGCTCTCGATTTGGGTTTGCCAAAACAAGTAATTGGGTCTCAATCTGAAATTAAATTCGGCCGTGAGTGTGAAGATGGAAGGGGGGTGTGTCGCCGGCGAGGTTAGGCTGTCGACAAGGAATGTGTGCGTCGGCCGACACGAGTAGTGTGGTACTGTTTGGGTTTCACTTTCTCTAATTGGGGCTTTAAATACTCTGTTTCATTCAAACCTGCTTCTAAATTTGTTGATCCATCTCTATATTCATGTGACCCATTGCTGAATCACTTGTTTCTTCTCTTCTGAATATTCTTCGATTCTCCGGACAAATTGTGATGGATGAATTACATTCCAAATATAAATGTGTGTGTGTGTATATATATATAGATAGAGGGAACCATAGAGAGATTTAGGTCGGTAATATATTATTTATTTATTTATTTTACTAGAAAGACACGAAGAAGATGAACAGTACATTTATATGTATATGTATGCGTCTATGCATATAGAACATAAAGGCATGTTTGGGTATAAAAGTAAGTTAAAGAAAGGTTGGGGTGTAAAAAGGATAATAGAGTCTTTTCATGCTTTTAAAGGGCATTATAATCATTAAATTAGATATTGTGGATTTAACGGTGAGATTCCACCGAAGCATCGCCTGAAGGAATCATCTGTAACAAAAATGCATAGTTCAGAGGGTTTCTAGCAATTTTTGTATTTAAGGGAGATTTGTTGCAAATTTGCCAATAATTTAGAGGGGTTTTTTTGCATTTAACCCTAAAAATAATAATAAAATAACATAAAATGGGAAAAGACAAAGAAACCCTTTGTCAATACCACGTCATTTCTAGGGCATATTGACACTTAATCGATCTCTAGGGTTTGGGATTCGAGGGAGAGGGAGTTGGCTTGGGAGAGGATGAAATCGAAGGCGTCGTGATATTTGGGTGGGTGGTGTTGATTCGGAGGTAGTGTTGGAATCTTGATATGATCGCGCATGAATCTTCCAATGCTATCAGTCAACAAAAGTAGAGAGAAAGTAAAATGAATAAGACGATAGCAACTGTAGTGGTTGTTTCTGAAACTCATCTGAGTCATCTCCATTTCGTTTGATTCTCTCAATCAGTATCACCTCCCTTCAAGTTGAGACAGCTTGGGGAATTCACCCCCCATACCATCTTATATCCAACATTTTAAAATTTTGGTGCAGTTGCAGTCCACAGAAGAGTCGCCGTAACACCAGAACAGAGGTGCAGAAGTTGGGATTGGAGATGGAATGGGATTTCTTGATTTAGGGGAGAAATTGTTGGACAGTTGGGTTGGAGCTGATTGACGAGTTCTTGATGACTTATTTATATATCTCATAATTTCTCGGGGTGTTATATATATATATATATATATATATATATATATATATATATATATATATAAGTATTTTATGATGAGTAATGGTAAGCTTTTTTTTGTTTAATTTTTTTTTTTTCTTTTCTGAAATTGGTGTGCAATTGAACAGAGGCAAGTAAGGGCTATTGCTCCTTCAATCACACTCTCTGGAAACCATTGTGGAACGTGGAAATCTCTTATAATTTTGGGGGAATCATCCCTACCCAGAAACCCATTCCGACAACATGAAACCCAATAGCGGTGGTGACTACTTTTATTGGTGAGCTCAGTCATACCCCCCGTAACTATACATCTTTAATTCAAATTTTATGTTTAAATTGCATTTGAATATTTGTATAGAGAAACAGTAAAGAGACAGAGATAGTAGATAGAGAGATGATATATATGTGTGTGTGTTTAAGGGCATTTTTGGTATAAAGAAGGACAATTTTGGTATTTAAGTTCCTAAAATAGTCGTGTGGATGGCACATGCTTAATTAACGCCATTTTTTGCAGGAAGTCTGACCAGAGGTCTTTATTTGCAACATTTTGACATCTAATATGAATTTATATACGCAAAATAAACTATAAGACTGTAATGTGCACAAAATGAAAATCATTGGGGTGTTTTATGTTCTTTACCCATTAACAAATAACTAACACACACTTTGTAAAGTAAGGTTCATTAGGATGGTATCAATTTCAATGTTTCATCTGTTTCCTCTGAAGTTTAACACACTGTGAACAGCATTGCCATTTTTGTCATCCGTGTGGGTCTCCTCAACCAAATAAAGGTAAATCATTCAATGAAGAAGAATTTAAGACTTTTCTTTTTCTACGTGCACCTATTCATGTCATGGAGAAAGACTTGACCCAAATCTACCTTGATGTGGGAATCATTGGAAGCTACAACATGCATTCACTGGTGGCGGTCAGTCTCAGTCCTTTTAAGTTGACGATTAACGAATGCATTCATTGTCATTTCTTCTTTTTTTGTTGCAAACTTGTTTAGTTGTTGCCTTTTCTATGGTCGATCAAAATATCTTTCTTGTACTAGTCTAATGTCTATTAACGTTTGCTTTCATTGTCTAAGTTATATAATTTTTCTTTTTACGTTTCATGTACAATTCTGCTCTCCTATTTTACCCGTCTGCCATTCTAAGTTAATTTTTCTACACTCTCACGTTTTGTGTGGACTTCTGCTCTCCTACTTCACCCGCTTGTCATCCTAAGTTAATTTTTCTATGCTCTCACATTTCGTGTGGGCTTTTGCTCACCCACTTTACCTGCCTTCTTACCCTTGCTCTAATTCCAAGCATGTGACTTAGATTTTGGCGCATGTATTCCCACTCTGATTTTATATGACTTAGCAATAAACCATGCTTCAGGACCAATTAGTCTATTATCAATGGTCCCTTTAGACTAGATTAGAATGATCATCCTAAAGAATTGTAGTCCTTTGGAGCGGTAAGATTATTCAAAAGAGGACCTACCCACCATCATCTATTATTTAACATCTTTATTCCATGTCTTTGATGGTAATTCACAAACCAATAAGTTGAGGCAATGGCTTGTGCTCTTCCTCATCTCCTCTTCTTTCTATTTCTGCTAACATTTTCTGGTGTTGCTCAAACCAACGGTGCTAATGTATCTATTGGCGCCTCTCTTTCTGCTGCTGCTGAGGCGGATTCATGGCTTTCTCAATCCGGAGATTTTGCATTCGGTTCAAGGAAGTGGGCACCAATCTTTTCTTGCTTTCCATATGGTATGACAAGATACCAGAAAAAACCATAGTGTGGTATGCAGATGAAGGCAACACTATCCCTAGAGGTTCCAAAGTTCAGCTTACTGCTGACAGAGGGCTAGTGTTTACTAACCCACAAGGCGACCAGGTATGGAAATCTGATCCTCTTGTGGGCTCAGTTGCATATGGCTACATGAACAATATTGGTAACTTTGTGCTTAAAGATAGGAATTTGCAAGAGTTATGGGAAAGCTTCCGGGTTCCTGCTGACACCATGTTGCTTACTCAGGAATTGGAGAAGGGATATGTGCTTACCTCTCGAAAAACGGAGCCTAGTTTCTCCGAAGGAAGGTTCCAACTCAGCATGCTTGACAACGGAAATCTTGTGCTCAGAACCATAAACCTGCCTACAGACCATCCTAATGAACCTTACTTTACAAGCGGGACTCGGGATGATAATGATGCATTGAATGCAGGTTCCCGATTCGTCTTCAATCAATCCGGATACATATACGTGCTGAGAGCGAACGGCAGAAGTCCATGCTCTCACAAGGAGGAATTGTTTCAGCCACGGATAACTTTCTCAGAGCAACTCTCAATTTCGACGGTGTGTTCACAAAATACTATCATCCCAAGATATCCAATGGCAACGAAAGCTGGTCTGTGCTGTGGTCTGAACTGGAAAATATTTGCACAGCAAGTGTTGTGTCTGCAGGAAGTGGCACTTGCGGATATAACAGCCTTTGCCAGCTCAACACGGATGGAAGGCCGTCTTGTTCGTGCCCACGAGGGTATTCCTTACTTGATCCAAGTGATCAATTTAGTGGCCGCAAACCGGATTTCGCGCAGGGCTGCGAGGATGACCATGAACAACTATATGATCTTGTTGAGCTATCCAACATTGACTGGCCATTTTCTGACTACGTGCTGTTGGAGCCTTTCGATAAAGAGGAGTGCAGGAATTCTTGCTTGCGAGACTGCTTGTGCTCTGTTTCCATTTACAGAGATAATAGCTGTTGGAAGAAGAGGATACCACTCTCAAATGGGAGAGTTGTTAGAACTGAAAGGAGCACGGCATTTGTCAAAGTCAGGAAAGATACTAATTCTTCCCCACCGGGTCCTTGTCTTCCGGATGAGAAGAAGCCGGTAAAGAAGTACGACAAGACTAAAGTCGTTGTGGGATCGGTGCTATTAGGCAGCTCTGTGTTCTTCAACTTTGTATTAATTGCTGCAATTCTTCTGGGCTTTTGCTTCATAACAAGGGAAAGGACACCAGAATTCCCCAAGTCGAAAGCGTCGTGGACACTAATTTGCGTTGTTTCACATACCAAGAGCTTGAACAAGCTACGAATGGCTTCAATGAAGAAGTAGCAAAAAGAGCTTTTAGCGTTGTTTACAAAGGGGAAATGAATAGGGGTTCTGGAAATTTCGTTGCAGTTAAGAAGTTAGAAAGATTGGTTCAAGGTGAGAAGGAATTTGAAGCTGAAGTGAATGTGATTGGGCAGACACATCACAAGAATTTGGTCCAATTGATTGGATTTTGCAATGAGGGACCAAATCGATTACTGGTGTACGAGTATATAAGCAATGGTACGTTAGCGAGCTTCCTTTTCGGAGATACAAGACCGAGTTGGAACCAGAGAATCAGAATTGCCTATGAGATTGGAAGAGGACTCTTGTACTTGCACGAAGAGTGTAGCACCCAGATTATCCATTGCGATATAAACCCTCAGAACATACTTATTGATGATTATTACAGTGCTCGAATTTCTGACTTCGGATTGGCAAAGCTTTTGATGATTGGTCAGAGCCAAACCCACACTGACATTAGAGGAACTAGAGGGTACGTTGCACCGGAATGGTTTAAGAGCATGCCAATCATAGTGAAAGTCGATGTTTATAGCTTCGGTGTGTTGTTGCTAGAGATCATTTGCTGCCGGAGGAGCATAGATATAGATACCAGTGAAGTAGAGAAAGCAATCCTTACTGATTGGGCTTATGACTGCTATCAAGAAGGAACGATAGACGCGCTGGTTGAAGGAGACGTGGAGGCCATGAACGATAGGGCGAAGCTAGAGAGGTTTGTAATGGTTGCCATTTGGTGTATTCAAGAAGACCCGTCTTTAAGACCCACAATGAGGAAGGTAACTCAGATGCTTGAAGGAGTTGTTGAAGTTAATGTTCCCCCATGTCCCTCCCCATTTAGTACTACGATAATGATTTAGAGCAGATTCAGGTCTTTGCTTTGTTTGTCTTATCATTCTTTCTTGTGCTGTCGATGTAAGATTCTGTTTGTTATTCTAGTTTTGGGTATAAATCTAAGTATGTCCCTGCAAATTTTCTGTTACCAATATTTTCAGGAATAATAATGTTTGTTAATTGATATTTAACTGTTTCCAACAAAAGTCCAAAACCATCAGAGGTACAGTTAGCGGGCATTATTTAGTGGCTTGGTTGGTAGAGTGCCCAGCTCCCTGAGCAGGTGTGTCTGTGTTCGACTCCCTCCTATCCCTAGTTTGTCTACAGCTTGCAACACAATGATCTGTTTATGTATAATTGTCTCTAATAATGCACAAAAATAGCAATATGGAAACTTAAGATCTTAATATATGTCTCACCAATTTGCCCCCCACACACTTGCCAGTATGTTCCACAAGACATTCCAACTATCATAGTAAATTTATCTTCATTTTTCCTAGTTTCTTGAAATGACTTCATAATTTGTTTAATTTGTGCTACAAATACTTAGTGGCCATTTAAAGCTATTAAAAATCTAAAATTGAAATTACTTTTGTCATGTTTGGCAGCACAAAGTTTAAACCAAATTTGTTTCAATCATAAATTCAAGACATCGATTCGGTGTTCCCAATTTTTAAACATGTTAATAAAATGATAGTTCTTGTTAAAGAACTAATATGAAATCCAATATTGAAAAATTAAAAGTTTCAAATCAATTCCTTATAAGTTATAAATTTTGTACTTCAAATTCTCAAGTTCTTATGAACCTATATATGGTTGTGTATTTAAACATTTACCATGAAAAACCTTCCTATAATCACAAGAGTAGATAAATTTAATTGTCACGAAAAGGGATAATAATAATAATTTTGGTCCTCTCGGTGCTCACGATTTTGTTTTTTACACAATTGGGAGCTCTTGAAATCTAAGCATCTTATTGGTTTGACCCTCGTAGACTTGTGCACGTTCTCCCATTTTTAACTTGGAATTGGCTCTGATATCATTTGTCACAACTTGTTGCTTTGCACACTCTCTCGATGCTCACAGTTTTTCTCAAAAATGCATTTACACAGTTGGGAGATGTCCACACATAAATCATGAAATATTGTAAAGCAAAAAAAAAAAAAAAAAAAAAAAAAAAAAAAAAAAAAAACCATGCTTTACAGGTTAATGTTGGCGTTCACTTCCTTTGGCAAATAAAGTTCATACCTACTGGTTAAGGGCCTGATTGATTCGGACAATGTGTGGCAACGGTTTGGTAATATTTGGTGTGTTTTAAATAGTACCAAACCGTTTGTAAAAATGAAAAATTCTTAATAGGGTTAATTACAATGACACCCCTTGAAGTTTGCTATAATGACAACCATATATAAATTGGCTCACTTTTGAACGATCACACCCCCTTAGGTTTGCTCCCTTCACAAAGACACCCCCTTGACATGGTAAAATGACCTCAATAACCTTTGACTTATGATGGGACACTAAAATTACCAATTTACCCATTTTTCATACCAACCACATACCCACAAAGCCGTCGCCGCCATCACCACCGCCTCATCTTTCCTCTTTTCAACCTTTTTCTTTTATACACATACACACACACAATTGCAATCCAATCCATTCCTACACTACCCAAACCATCCCCAAATTAATCACAATTTTTTTTTTCCAAACCAATTTTTAAGGAAACCATCGCCCCGTTTGGCAACAAATGGGTCACCATTGCCCGCATCCTCTTGGGTCAAACTAACAAGGCCATATATATCCACTGGAACTCCATTGACGAAGGAGATGATGCAGAATCAGATATGGGCTTAATATCGTCATCAACGAGGATGCCAATCTCTGTTCAGCAAAAGCGATATGGCGGAATACCAAAGCGGAGGCGACAGTGGCACCGCTATCGCAGAAGGCGGATGATTTGTTTGGCCCGTTCAGCAAGGAGTTTTTGGCAGGAATACAATCGCCGCCGGTGATGGCCTGAGCAAGGCGTTGGATTACACGCTTCGAGCTTCGAATTGCACTGCCGCCACAGAAGGCAGATGATCTGTTTGGGCCGTTCAGCAAGGGGTTCTTGGCAGGAATACAATTGCTGCCGGTGATGGCTTGAGCAAGGCGTTGGATTACACGCTTCGAGCTTCGAATTTGTTTGACTGGTGTGTTGTCGGCGGTGAGCATCTGTGTTATCTCCGGATCACAATTTGTATCGATGATAGAATATAAATTCTTCTTCATTCCAGAAGTTAGAGAGAGCGTGTGGAATGAACAGACACGCTATTTGTTTAGGGTTAGGTGAGATCTTGATAGAAGGGCAAATGCGTCTTTTAAAAATTATGATATTTTGTTATTAAAATCAATTAAATATTGATGGGCAATTTTGTCTTTTCCAATCATTTAAGAGCCTGTTTGGATAAAAATTCAGATAAGAGGGTGTCATTGTTAAAAAAATGCCAAACTTATATATGACTGTTATTATAGCAAACCTGAGAGGGTGTTATTATAATTAACCCTTCTTAATAAATGGAGTTTTGGAGGAATTGTGCCAAATACATGAAGTCAACATTTCTCTTTCCAGAATGATGGATTTTTCCCAAAGTCGGACGCAGACATGGAATTATACTGTATATAATCTTTTGCTTCCCAAACTACCCATATTATTGTTAGAAAATTACCAAACTACCAATTCACCAACTTTACTAACTTTAGGGTCCGTTTGGTATGCGTTTTGTTTTTGGTATTTTGTTTTAGGCTAAAACAGAAACAATGTTTCTGTTATAGGGTGTTTTGGAACAACTTCGAAAGTACGTTTGGGAACTATACTTTGTTGTAGATATGTTAAAAACAAAAACATGTAAAACATGTTTGGACACACAAATATATATATATATATATATATATATATAAATTTTTGCAAGGTAATGCTCGAGCGAGGTTTGGGATAGCAGACCCCTCTCTCTCTCTCTCAAAAATCACTCTGCAACTCTTTCTTTTTCTCTGGGTTTGGGATAGCAGACCCCTGTAGCCAAACACCGCACAAGCACTCTTCTTCTTCTTCAACGAAAGCTGCAACTACCGGCCAAAAACAAAAGACGGCAGCTACTGAAACACCTGCGCCGATGTATGAAGCAAGAAGACGACCGGTGATGAAGCTAGGGACACAACACAGGGCGACGACAGCAAGGAAACTCCGGCGATAGCAAAGAATGAGGTTGCCGGCACAAAGAAACAGATAAAAAATTTCACGATCTGACAGACAACTCGTCGATGATGAAGACGCCAACACACAAAGAAATCTTCGGCTACTGTACTGTCCCTCCGGTTACGATCCTCCAAATTGGGTTGCAAAAAAAAAAAATACAACCCCCGAATCAAAATATCGACCCAATTGCAGAGAGAGATAGAGTGGGCAAGTTCAGGTCTGAGAACGAGAATAGAGATGGAGGCATTATTTATAAGTAATAATAGGTTTTGATTCTTGTAGACAGATAGATAAACTGAAATAAATGGGTTTTGATCTTTTGATTCTTGTAGATTTGGGCAAGTTCAAAGTAGAGAACGAGAATAGAGATGGAGGAGGTTGGAAATCGCCCTTGAATCGCAGAAAGAGTATCGGGAGAGGAGAGAGAAAATTTGTGCGAAAATGACCTAAAATGTTTATATAGCTAAAACAAATTGGGCCGGCTATTTCATCCGCTACAGTGCTTTTTATTGGGCTACAGTCGTAGAACAACAAAAAACACCATTTTGGTGTTTCACTTTTGGGCCACTATTTGAAATAATGTTTTATACTGTTTAAAACAAAACAAATGTTACCAAACATGTTTTTGGTATGAAAACGAAGCCCTGCAACAAAAACACCAAAGTAAAACACCACAAACGGCCTTACTGATTCACCCGCACATTCTCTCTCTTCGTTCTCTTTCAAGGGATTCCTGGCGACGCCTCTCTCCATCTTGCCTTTGACATAGCCAAAGAATAGAGAAATCGGCTGCCAACGATCACTAGCACTGCCCATTGCTAGATATTACCGGCGAGTCACTCCGATGAACACTTGTCAGGTTCAATACCCACTCTCTCTAACTAGATCTGAAGCATCTCTCTCTTTTATGAAATTTTTTTTTTTTTTCCCGGATCTTTTCTTAGTTTCACTTCTTAATCTTTCTTAATAATATTTATCCTAAATACAGCCTCTCGAATTCGACTTTTAAAGTTTGAATGACCAGTAAGTTAACTCAACATCCATTTTATTTTACGAAATAATAATAAATAAAAAAAACTCAACATACCACTTCAGTTTGTTGTTTCTCGGGAGATAATGGGTAGCATAAGGGTTGGCTTAGGAAAATAGAATTTCCCAACATACCAGTCATATATAGAATTTCCCAGAGCATCTCAGATTGAGAAATATTAGATTCAGAAATAATTACCGCAGGGGTCATTAGCGCTTTTTTTTTATTTTTTTATTTTCTTACTTATTTTCTTCATTTTTATAATAGAAATGTATGATGATGATGATGATGATTAATTTTGCCTTTATTTTTTTCTTACTTATTTTCTTCATCTCAGAAGTTAGTCTGTTTTGTGGTTTTTATAAGTTTTATTGCCTAGTCCTAAACATACAGACCCCTCACTTAACAGTTTATTTGAAAACACTTGCAAAAATGGATGAGACATATGTTGCATGCATTTGTCATTTGGATGGAGAATTTAAAAAAAAAAAACTAATGGGGAAATCACAAACATTGGCGATTGGAAGGACAGTTTAATGGTAACAAGAACGACTACGTATGAATCATTTTTAGAGGATATCCGAAGTCAATCCTCTTCAGACAATAGTAGCAAAGTCATATATTTCACCCCAGAATATAATAAGACCGAATTTGTGAGGATGGTGGGGGAACTTGGATTTAGAGCAATGCTGGTTATCAATGACCTTAATATCAAATATATATGTTGCTGCAGATGCAATGGATGTTGATGCACCATGTATAGTTCCAAGCGGCAACAGCCTGAGGTAAGACACACACATACGTAAAGTACTATATTTTATGCATTCATTGCATGTGGAATCAATTTCTTACTATATTTGTTGGTGTACATGTAGAGATTTTGTTGAAGAAGTTGGCAATGTGTCAAAGTCTTCACTT